GCATAGTATAGTACTCATCTGTAGGACGTTGTAATAGTCAAACAAATTGTGTAAAACCCACCTGCTTTACAGCTGCATTTTTCAGGAGGGGGCGGTGAGTTGCTGAGTTTATTGATCAGCTTCATCTGTCGTATGAGTGATAGAACCGACTTTCCGTTTTCGCACAGTAGTTTGGTTTGAATTTTAATGGGGAGTTGTGCGAAGTAGTTTTACAGCCGCCGTATAACAGGCATTCTGCAATCAGTCGAATCTAAGTCTCACTCGGAAGTACAAACAGAATCTAAATGCTTTTTTGGCATCCTCCCCAATGGAAGCGGGAGTGTTGAACATGCCGTGTATTCTGTTAATTTTGTGCTAAATGCTTTAAGTATTACATGATGGCGAGTATATGTGGTATGTGCGTGTTGACCAGTACCTAAGAAGTCTGCTTCGAATTTCGGAAATGCCGGGTTCAATGCAGTACAGTCGAGAGGTTCTGAATTCAAACCTCGGGCATGGTCAGTCGTTTTTCTTCCTTCCAAGGTTGATAAATGCGTACTACTCCGTGGGAAAGAAACATAAGTCTACGCTGTAGACTTTGTCTATAAATAATCAGGCATATGGCTGATGGCATAGAAATGGAGAGCAGCACCACACCATTAACTTCGTGAAAAGAAGGGCGTCAAAATGGTCCAATCATTTTGGGTGAAGGAAGACCGGCATTCCAACAGTGGGGACAAACTTGTTTTGTTTTTGCTAACGAGCATCTCATGGTTCTTCCTTTGTCAATTACTGAAAGTGCGAGAACGTATACTTGTACTTACCTTTCTGTTTCACAAGTCTAAAGCAAACTGGTGTAGATTTAATATATGCTATTCGTGCATGGCAGTTAAACCGAGCTAACTGATTACAGCGTCTTGAGGTATCAGATTGCCAAAGCATAAATGGGAATAGTTTAAAGTTTAAACAAGTCTGTAATCTACTTTTCAGCCAGTGATTCGTAGACCTGCATGAAGTGAACGACTGAAATCTAGCTTCCCCTCCATAGTAGAGAAAGTAACTTAATGTCATGACAACCTAGAATATGTTCTCTTCTTGTATTCAAATAAAGTAATATCATTTGAGTGCTTTTGAATTTCCTACATAGGGTAATGGAGAACTGCAACATGGCAACAAAAAGTCGAAAGTAATTTGCTACCTGCAAGCGAGCCAGTCGACCGGAGTAGTCCTATCGAAAGAAGGGGATATAATAAGTTAAAAACCGATGGTACCCCAAGACCAAGAGACTCTAATCCTAGTCCGGATTCTTTAATTACATTTATCCCATTAGGGATGTCATCGGTCAAGCATTGGAGGTTTGTCGCGCAGGTATGTTTCGGATTTCTGATTTCTGGATGCGGCTTCGTACTAACCGGAATGCTGCTGGACACCGTCCAGGTAAGGTGCTATACTTATTGAATAGACCTACGTAATCTTCGTTCTTTTTCAGCATTCTGAACTATTCATTAGTCTGCCCCAAATTTGTGCTTTGCTTCCAGCACTTCTGGGTCTGAAAGGAAACCTGGAAATGACTCTGGTATCGCGACTGTCTACTCTGGTAAACAAACCGACATTTAATTGCTAATGTCTCTAATTATTGCCTTTTTAAAAACAATTTAGTTCCGATTAAGTCTTAACGGTTCCTCAAAAACATTATTATAATTACATTACTGAAGAATATTTGATGAAAATGTAACCAGCTACAGCAGATTGCCGTGTCTCAGTGGAAAGATTTACCGGAGATATATAAATTGCAAAGCAAACTAATGGGAAGAACCATTTATGTTTAGATTCATGTGAATGAAGTGATATCCTAACTCCAAACATATTACCCAAAATATGCACTGCTCATATTTTTCCTTGTCCTTCAAGAACCTTTGCCACGTGGAACCACAATACCTTTACTAGAAAACGTAAAAATGTTCAAAAGTTGTTTCAGTCTTTTTGCATCACTTATATCGGTTATGTGGAAAGACCAAAATAAATTGTCCTGCAGACCTCACCGATTTCATGTGCCGTCGAGAAATGCTTTTTTGCATGTAGTAGCAGTTTCTGCTCCATTCCTATCGTGTCGGTAAGAACAAAGGCGCGTTCGCGGTCATGAATTCGATGAATGTTGTAGTTCCTATTCAACTGAACACATATTTCAGGGCGAAGTTTAAGTTACCCTACAATACATAAACGATCCGCTTTCTTTTCATCGAGACCTACGTCTTGTAGGTGAAGGGAAGGTCTTAAGCGCAACTTTTGGCAGAAATTTGTCCCTCTATCAGGGAAATGCCATGGAGCTATATTTAGTTCAGAACAACGAAAGTATACCGATTCAGTGCTGAGTTGGCAACATCCCGAAGTCGACAGTTTGAGCATGTCTCATTTCTGAATGAATGCCAAACAAAATGATTATTGTGAAACATGGTTTTATACTTTCCAACTGTGAATTGGAAGAAATATATCTGTCTTTTTTGGAGTTCAAAAGAGAGTCATTAATACCTGTTTCTGTGGAAGTGGCGCAATGTGTTAGTAGTTTGCTGAGTGCTTTAGAGGTGTCGCATAAATTTGGTCGCTCGTTTTGCGTAAAATTTTCTTTTATTAACGGTTGATTCCTTGAGCAAGGAGCAGACTCGTTTGTGCTTCGGTAGATTAAACTGAAGCGAAGAGTAACATCCTTGACCTGCAATTAGTTTAGCACTAGACTATTTGAGGGTGATCATGCCTCAGCGTTCAGTGCATTTAACCAGACTATCTGATGCATGCGTTTTACGGTCGCAATTACCTTCCGAAAATTTGATCGCTTAGTAGAAGTTACCTCAAACTTCAAACAAATTGAAACTCAAAAACTTTAAATGTGTTAAAAAGAGATGAATCAGATATTTCTCTTCATTTCTTAAAATCCTCAATATCGCTCCGTCTAGAAATTTTCAAGACAAGATGGATCTGTTGTGACATCATTACTGTTTAAAACGCTAATATTTAATGGTGAGAGATACAATAATTATATTAACGTTTTAGGCTAATCTTGGAAAATTGGACGACGGCCGAGAGAAATGGAAGCAGGTGATCACCAACCTTAGTCTGGTTCAGGTAAACACAGACATATTCCCTGTACGAATCAGCATTATTATACTGAGATTCCAATGAGTTTTAGGTTCAGGCATGTATTGGCGCTTTCGTGATATCCGTTTTCACGGTGGTTGTGGGCTGGGCAGCCGATTCACGGATTAATATGACAGACGCCTCCATACTAATCGCCAGCAGTGTCATAACAGCCTCTACCACTTCGTTCATCTTAGGTAATTACTTAAATAAATACATGAAATTTCCCTGGAAATTTCCGTTATTTATTTTGTTATCATCCAGTATGAACGCGACACCCATATTTTTTCGATGTAACCTATGTGGCAGTAGGATATCTTCATCTTCCCTGACCGCTTCTCCTCTTCGGTCATCGTATCAGACAGAGCTTCCAACGTTTCCGATCCTGTACCAGAGTCTGAGCTTCGGCAGAAAACAACTGGAGTCTGGAACAGACTCCTTCCATATGTTTGCACCAGGTTAATCTTGGCCATCCCCTGGGCCTTCTGCCGGTCGATTTGGCAAGATACAGTTGCTTAGCCTTCCTTTCTTCAGGCATTCACATCACATACCCTAACCATCGCAGCTCTGACTTCTCAATCTCAAGAGCAGAGGCTAAACACCAAGGTTCTTCCGGATGTCACTATTCCGGACCATGTCGAGACGCGTAAGATCAGCGACCGGTCTAAGAAAGCCCATTTCAGCAGCTTGTACCCGGGTTCGAAGACTTCAGTCATGACCCACGAGTCGTGACCTTATCTTGTGACCGCAGATAAGCATGATGATAAAGATCGAGTGGAACACTCAGAGTTTTGTTTTCAGACTGAGCTCTGCTTTACAATGAATAGGGCTGATTGGCGAAGAACGCCATTGGCTTCACCAATTCACCGGTCGTTCTATGCCTCCAATTTTCCACCACTAGTAAAGTGCACTGTCTCTGAGGTACTTGAATTTTTCCATCTGCTCCACTGACTCTCCGTTAATCTGAAGAGAGCAACGGGCAGGAGAACGAGAAAGCACTATGCTTTTCGTTTTAGATGCGTTCACACGCATGCCGGTCACGTCGCACTCGGCTGAGAACCTTTCCAGGGAGAACTGCAGATCACTTTTAGAAGATGCCAGTAAAACAACGTCGTCTACAAATGGCAACGTTCTCGCTTACACATCTCCAACACCGATAAACTCATCGCCTTGCGTGATCCTGACTATTCTCTCCACGTACAACAGAAACACGAGGGGTAAAGGACAGCACGCAGAGACAAGGGCCAACGTTGAAAAACTTCAACGTAACGCCATTTACTCTGACGCACCAGCTGCTATCAGAATACAAAGATTGGATTATCCGCAACAACTGCTCATCTCCCCTGCGTGCTCAGAGCAATGAATACGGATTGTTGCGTGGGATCTGGCCATAGGCCTTTTCTAGGTCAACAAAATACATGTACACCGGACAGGGGTATTTGCACCATTTCTCGAAAATCTGGCGCATGGCAAATATATGGTCAAAGGTGCTCCGACGGGCCAGAAGCCACATTACTCTTCTTGGATCTTGAGGTCAACTATTTCGCGGCACCTCCTTTCTAACACCTTCGCGTAGACTTTACCTGCGAGGCTCAATAGCGTTATGCCCCTATAATTGCAGCATTCCTTGTGGTCTCCCTTCTTGAATACGGGTACAATAACTCCCGTTCTCCAGTCCACTAGTGTCTTTCCCGCAGTCATCGCAGTTTGACAGACACATGTTAGCCAGA